CTCTTTTGTGTCTCAATGATAACACTAACTCAGAAGGAAGGCTGGGATGTAGCTCAATGGTAGACTTTGTCATGTGCAAAGCTGTTGGAGTCAATCCCAAGCACCAGAGCAGTGAGTGGCTGTGTGTGTGTGTGTGTGTGTGTGTGTGTGTATGTGTGTGTGTGTGTGTGTAAAGACTTTTAAATCTTAAAAACATTTTTTTAGTTTGTTTTTTCTAGAGATACAAAACTGTCTTTAATTTGTCCAAAACCACACAGCTGTGTAAAAATCGTTTCTGGGAGGGAATGGAAGGGCCTACCATGCTTGAATGAAGGTTCTAGAAGTTCTTCCAGAAGCCCAAAATGTACTTCTTCTCTGTCTCCTGGAACTCCAGGCTGGGGCCATCCCCAGTGCCCTCTGCATATTCCTTAATGATGTGCCTGATGATTTTTTTTTCTTTTTTTTTTTTTCATTTTTCTTTTATTATTCATATGTGCAGATTTTTTTTTCTTGTTTTTGTTGTTGTGGGTTTGTTTGAACCCAGAGCCTCAAGCTTGCTAGGCAGACACTCTTACTGCTTGAGCCAGTCCACCAGCCTGCACCTGAAGATCTTGATGGAGCTTTGTCACATGTTTAGGATCTGGTGAACAGGTTGGCATATCTGGGGGACACTGGCATTCCAGATCTCAGCCATGATGTGGCAGTTGTGCTGGAGAATAGAGTCCTGCGTCCAAGCACCGGAGGTAGATTTCGTCCTCCTTGTCATTGTCTGTGATCTCTCCACACCGGGCTATGTCATGTTTTTCCCCTTCAGTCTTCTTGTCGGCCACTTGCATTTCACCCAGCTATTTAAAAAAAAGAAATGCAAAATTCTATTACTCTGTCAGCCTTCTCACTGTCACTTTTCCGTGAATTTATTCAGGAACTGGGTTGCTACTGCCCTCTCAGGTTGCCCAGGAGGGAAACCAGGATCGAACAAACATGTTTGTTGTTCATGTTTCTTTTCAAGAAAGTAGTTCCCACTTTCTTCATCTTCTTGGGAGATTTCATAAAGAGGGGAAAGATGGTTCATAAGCAAAGAATGTCCACAAGCTTAGAGCAATTGTCAGTGCCCTCGGGCCCAATCGTGGCATGATCCAGTACTTTCAGGGCACTGTTCCAGGACAGCTTCTTTTCCCTGAGCATAAAAATTATCACTTGGAGGCCCTCACCCTTCAGGAAGCACTTGCAGTTGGAACTGAGCATCAGGCAGGAGCGGAGGGAATCAAAAAGATTATCACCCCCTGCTGTGCTGGGACTGTCTTTTAAACACAGATAACTGCTGAAGAAGCATATTGATTCTATCCAGCTCACCAGCATTTCTGTTTTTGTCATTGTCCTGGAGCAATATGGTCAGCACTTCACTGCAATACAATTTGTTGGCATCAAAAGACATCTTTGCTTTCAGCCTCTTCAAGAGCACTGCAGGGGCCCCTGCCGGGCAGCCTTCTTACACACTTCAGGCTGGAACTCAGCCCTGTTCTCCACAATAAGCAGAGTGATGTGAATGCCATCCATTTCCTCCTGCCTAGATTCATCCAGGCTTCCAGATCTGGCAGCAGCAGCATTCTCACCTGCCGTCCAGTACAGCATTGATGAGAACCTCCACTCCCTCTTCACTCTCGTGAACAGTGTCTGTGTCTGTCAGTGCCTAAAGCAAATCAAACACAGCTATGGACATATCTGTGTTATCATGTCCCAGCAACCTGAGAAGTGACTGCACAGCACTTAGCTCCACCAGAAGGTAATGCAGGTCTGGCATGGGGGCCACCATGTGCACCTCCTGAATGATATCAGTTAGGTCCAGCTTGGATTCCATGGACTTCTCTGGATTGTCTGGAAACTTGATCCACAACTCTTGGTTTTTATACAATTTCTTTTCAAATGTGAGGCTCATTCTCTTCACTGAGCTTCCATCCAGTGGTTCCTCCTCCTACTCTTCCTTCTCACCCTCTGTCATTAGTCTAGAGCAGCCTTTCTGTTTTGTCATCATCTGCTTCAACCACAGTTGCTTCCTTCTCCCAATAGCAGCTGTGTTCTCGAGGACCTGACCCATTGTGTTTTCAGCTCCTTCTCATTATCATCCAGGGGACACTTTGTGTCCCTGTTGGGCTGGTAGCTTAGAAGCTCCCCCGATCCAGTCAACACTGGGTAGTCTGATTTTCTCCACTCACCAGTTTTGTTTTTTAGAAAGCAATCCAAGCCTGGGGTGTGTCTCAAATGGTAGAGCACCTGCCTAGCAAGCAGGAAGTCCTGAATTCAAACCCCAGTACCCAGGCTGGGATGTAGCTCAGTGGTACAGTGTTCACCCAGCATGCATGAGGCCCTGGGTTCCATCCCAGCACCAAAAAAAGAAAAGACAAAAAAAAAAAAAAAACAAACCTGTCCTCAAACCCCAGTACCCCCAAAATAAATAAAAAGCGATCCAGTTGACAAAAAAAATTCAAAAATAATGCAGAGAATTCCCCTGTGCCTTCACCCAAACTATTTATTATTGTCTTTTCATATATAATTACATATTTTTTTTCCTCTTGAGAGTAAGTTGCAAACACAATGTCATTTTGCTACTAGTACTTCAGTGTGTTTTTTATAACAAGGATGTTCTCTTATGTATTCAGGGCCTGGTACATGCTAAGCAAGCCGTCTACCATTAAACTATAACCCAGTCCTAATTTCCTGAATTTGACCTCCAGCACCACACCAAAAAAACAAAAACAAAAACAAACAGAGATTAACATTTCTATTATTACATTGCTATTATCTAAGCTGAAAACCTTATTCAAATTTTGCCAATTGTTCCACCAATATCCTTTATTTATTTTTTTAAGTTTATTTATTTTTGGTGATACTAGGCCTTTAAGCTTAGGGCCTCGGTGTTTGCTAAGCAGGCTCTCTACCACTTGAGCCATGCCTCCAGCGCTGTCCTTTATAATAAAAAACAAACTCCCCACCACCCCAGCCCAGGATCCCATCCAGGATATAATGTCAAATTTGTTATCTCTTTTTAGTCTCTAGTAATTTGTAAGAACTGTTTGGCCTTTAGAGCCAGGCACCGGTGGCTCACGCCTGTAATCCTAGCTACTCAGGGGGCCAGAGGCCAGGAGGATTGCAGTTTGAAGCCAGACTCGGGCAATTAATTCTGCGAGACCCTATCTCAAAAATACCTAACATAAAAAAGGGCTGGTGGAGTGGCTCAAGGTGTAAGCCCTGAGTTTAAGCCCAGTACTGCAAAAAAAAAAAAAAAAAAAAAAGTGTTCAGCCTTTGTCTTCATGACCTTTAACCAAAAAGTTTTGATTTTCTTTGAGTTCACTGGTTTAGAAAAAGAAAACCCATGTATTACTTTGGGGCCTTGGGAGAAAAGCATTTTCATTCATTTTTGGCCAAATTCCCTAAAACAAAGTTTAAGAACAAGTGACCCATTTTCAAAAGGCCTTTTTTTTTTTTTTTTGTGGTACTGAGATTTGAACTCGGGGCCTACACTTTGAACCACTCCACTAGCCCTTTATTTGTGAAGGTTTTTTAGAGATAAGGTCTCATGAACTATTTGCCCAGGCTGGCTTCGAATCTTAATCCTCCTGATCTCTGCCTCCTGAGTAGCTAAGATTAAAGACGTGAGCCACTGGTGTCCAACAAAGAGCCTTTTCTTGATCATATTTTTTATTTTTGGAAGAAGGATATTTTTTATTATTTTCATGTGCCGAAAACTCAACATTACATATTTAACCCAGGTTGGTGGTGAGCTCTAGCCTTTGCCTTTCCCTGCGTGGCAATACAAGCCACAGATTTTGGACCTGGGATGCTGCATCCCTAGTGATGGTGGATCTCATCAAATCTGTCATTGTAATTGGTCCTGATAGCTTCCACCAGTTTAGATACAGCTCCTCTGTTTTCTGAGTTAACCTGTGACGGCAACCACAGTGCAGTTCTTCCCATGGACTAGCTGCCCCGGGCTGGCCTTCCGATTGATGAAGCAGGGAAACCCCATCTTGTGACAACGCAGGCAAGAAGACAACCAAGTTGTTGTCTCATACCCGTAATCGTATAATCCTAGCTGATCAGGAGGATCAAGGTTCGAAGCCAGCCTTAGCATTTAGTTCCAGAGACCCTATCTTGAAAAAAAAAAATCACAAAAAAAGGGCTGGTGGGGTGGCTCAAGGTAAAGGCCTTGAGTTCAAACCCCAGTACTGAAAACAAACAAACAAAACCAAACCAGAAAAACTAGGAATAGGAAGTGGAGGGGAAAGAGATGGTTCTCCTGGGAAATGGGCTGGGAGATGCCTTGGGGATGGAGCGTGTCTGTGAGCCATGAATGTGGTGAGAACTTTTTCATCTGCAGGAATTCCCCTTGAGGACCAAAGGTCCGTCAGGTTTCCCACAGTAAGGTTCTCGACTGTCACTGTGCAACGTCGGGGCCTGCACCTCGGAGCGATAGAGCTCAGAGAGCTGGATCTGGACCCAGCCAGCTCTGTCTCTCAGGGACGCAGACTCTTCCCTTTTCCGGTCTCCGTGGTCCACTCCGCTCCGAAATTCGCATCTCACACTCCAGGTCCAGGGAGGTCTCAATCTTCTGCACTCTGCAAATCTCTCACTAAACTGAGCCAAGGTGTCTGGGGGAAACCCAAGCCTTTCTCAGGGAAGTCTCCTGGGTCCTCTGACTCCGTGACAACATGTGACTGTCGGGAACCTAGGGACACCCGTTCGGGTCCCAGAGCGGTGAGGAAGGGGAAAATTCGACCACGCGGGACTTAACACCTCGCACACAGTCAGCCCCACACCCTCGAGGGCGACCCTCGGACCACGCCCTACGCACCACTGGCCCGGAAGCCCGAACCCGCAGTCTCCCGCAGGCCCACGGCGGCTCGAGAATTTACTGCTCTCGCGAGGCTTCAGAGAAGGCGGTGCCACGCCGTGTTCGCAGTTGCTAAGGCAACTGGGCGGCTGCGCCTGAGCGCGCGCAAAGGAGGTGTGAGAGGAGCTTTTTGCCTGCTTGCCCAGGATACTTAAATCGTGAAGTGCTTGAACTTCCAGCTCCAAAAATCACAGCCTCTGTTCTGGGCGGCGCCCCTGTCCCCCAAGGCCATGGCTCGGATCTCGGGGCTCGTGCCCTCTCGCTTCTTGACGCTCCTGGCGCATCTGGTGGTCGTCATCACTTTATTCTGGTCCCGGGTAAGATGCGCCGCAGCCCCCCTTCCCTCCCATTCGCATCTCCGAATGGACCCAGTACAACCCACCCCTCCCTAGGACCTTCCCCCCACACTTACCTTGGTTCCTCCCGTCCCCCGCAGCCCACTTTTCTTTCACTTCTCTTCCTCTCTGCTTGGCTCCCCAGGACAGCAACATCCAGGCTTGCCTGCCTCTCAGGTTCAGCCCCGAGGACTATGAGAAGCAGGACCTCCAGTGAGCTCTTGGGGCGGGATGGTGTAAACGACGAGGTGGTGGAAATGGAGGGGTCTTCGAAGAACTCCCAAAGTCCTGATCCAATCCCTTTCCTCTGCAGGCTGGTGACAGCGCTCTCTGTCACCTTAGGTCTCTTTGTAGTGGAGCTGGCCGGTTTCCTCTCTGGAGTTTCCATGTTCAACAACACTCAGAGCCTTATCTGTATCCTTTCTCACCTTTCCCACAGGACTCATTTTCATCGCGACTCCCTTCAGTCACTTCATTAGAGCAAACAGAATCTCAGAATCTCTCCAGTTGAGAGATGGCGGTGGGGGGAGAAGGGAGTATTTAAAATAGGTTTGTTAAGCTCTGCCATGCTCCAGGTTCTGGAGATTCCCAAATGGCATTCCCGAATGGCAATGGTGATATTCCTATATTTTTGGATTTTAGCACCTCAGTAACCTAGAAGTGTTTTTGTTGTTGCTTTTGCGGTGCTGGAGTTTGAACTCAGGGCCTCGTGCTTACTAGGCAGGCAGTCACTCTACCATTTGAGCCACTCCACCAGCTGGAGATTCCCAAATGGGAGTAAGAGTTTTCTCCCTTGAGGAGGAGGCAGGCACACATCTGTAAATCTATGTGATAAACACTGCGCTTCATGAGTAAGTGTGTAACATATAAAGCACTACGAGAACTCAGAAGAGACCAAGGAAGTGAGGCACATGGATCAGGGAAGGCTCTTGAGTTTTGAATTGTGGACCAGGAACACCAGGGTACGGGGTGGAGGGTGGGGTGGGAGGCGGGGTGTGGAAATTACCGCAGTATATCAAGTTGGTCAACATTCCTGTGTGGCCTAGGGTAGGTGGAGAGCATACCTTACCTCCCTTAAGGGTCCAGAGTGGTCCCATCTGGGCAAACTCAGCTCTGGCTTCCATTCACATGACTCTCCCAAAACTCAGGCTGCTGACTCTGGCCCTTGCAATATGGTGAGGGAGCAAAGATGAACCCGGGTTCGGATGCCAACCCCACCACCGGCCTTTTCAGGTGCATCACCTCCCGTGGATTTAGACTTTCCTTGACTCTGGTGCATTTCCAAGCCATTGCTGCTCACTGTAGTGCGTCTGTGGCCCTATCCTTCTTCATATTTGAGCGTTGGGAGTGTACAACATACTGGTATATTTTTGCCTTCTGCAGGTGCGGTAGCTTTCAATATTTGGGAATGGGGGTGGAAGGTTTCCCTCAAATCTGAAGGTTTCCACCACCTAGCCCCTTCCTTCCTGTGTGAGATACCAGATACATTCAACATCTTTTGAAGTTTTATACTCACCCCCATTGCACTCCCCTACACTTTGAGGGTGGAGTCTGGTTTGAAAATTTGGGTGTTTGTATTGGAAGAGGTTCTGAACCCACCACCTACTTTCCACAGCGCCCTCCCAGCGGTCACTGAAACGGCCTTATTCGTAGCAGTCTTTGGGCTGAAAAAGAAACCTTTCTGACCATCATAACTGGAAAGAAGGGACGAAAGATGGAGAAGCTAGTGGCCACCTATCGTTCCTGGAAGAAGGAAGGCAAAGGCTTCGGTCCCCTCCTTCCGCCCCCTCGAAACTGGTGGTAGAGGATGGCTGTGTTGGGATAATAATCTCCCGAATTTGGGATTAGTATTTTATTTAGTGCTTTGTAATAAAGTATATTTATAGTAAGAGCAATACATACAGTTTTCAGAAGACAATTGAAGTGATCAAACTGCTGGAGAAAAGAAAGGCCGTTTTTCATCCCTACGGACTGTTAAGAGAACTGGTATCGCTTCTATTTTGATTTTTACGGTAGAGGCAGGGCGAAAGGGAGTGGGCGGGGATATGTAAATAGTTGGTGTGCCTCGTTGAAGCTCTTAGCACGTACGTGAGCGGAGCATTGTGGGAGGAATTCGTTTCTCCCTTTTTGGCGCCGAATGGAAGGCAAATTATTTTAAAAGATTTACGAGTTAAGGGTTCCACTAGAATTGGAAGAACCTTAAGCAACTGGGTTGCTTGGACTAACATACCATATTCTCACCCTAGCTTATAGCGGAATTTTCTTTTACTGAGTACGGACTGGCCAGCGTTCTTTCTTTTATCGTCAGGTGGGATAATCCTTGCCTGTTCCTCCTTTTGGAGGACGGATAGAACGTGATGATTGGAGTTCGCATGATACGTGATTAGCGTCTCTGCGTAACCAGGACTTGCAACACCCTGGTTGCTCCTATCTGATTCTCCTGACGATCATTGTGTTGATTACTTGTGAGGTGGTGTTTGTAGTGTTCAATGATGGGTTGTTTGGTTTTTTTCCTCCGTGTTTTTGTTTCCCCGGTCTTTCGATCTGTTTAGCGTGCTTGTGGTTTTTCTATGAACTGCTGGAAGTGTATTTGTGTTTTTTGTACCCCAGTGTGCGTGTTTGCTACGTTGCTTTAATTCTCAGAGCTTAGATAAACAAAGCGTCATTCTGTATGTTTCTTGTTTTCTATAAAGTGGTCACTGTGTCAATATTGCGAATGGTCTATTGTCAAAACTTTCACTATTGTGACAAGAGGGGCCACGCCAGAAACCTGGCAAAGCACCCATTGTTGTCAGTATTGTGATGAAAATACTGCACCGTTGCCTGTCAGTGCTGGAAAAAAAAAACAAAAACAAAAAACATGTTCAGAAGGAAGTTATTAAGACGTTACATACTATTAGCAAGAGTGTAATGTTCTATGGTGTCACAAGATGAATATTCTCAGGTTCAGTATGTTTGGGAAGGTTCTCTGTACCTCAGCCCTGACTGATGGGGCCCAAGCCATTCCAGATAAGCAAAAAGCATCCAAAGAGATGCATCGCAGTGATGCCTTACACACATACAGTATCTGATATCTTACACACACATTCATTCATATATACTTGATCTTCTCATGGCAGCCTTCATCCTTAGCATTAATTCAATGAATACTTATTGAGCCCTTACTGCGTGCAAAGCTCTAACAGATACTGAGGAAAAGATGTGAATATGACACATACTCAGCTTTGACCATCACAAATCTTATGGTTAAGTGCTACAAAAGAGATTTAGGAGTGTTGCTTCTAGAAGAGCAGTTTGAGTGAGGCTTGGAGCAGAAAGGTGGGAGAGCAGAGTGTGGGGGAGACAGGAGGGTGACCTTGCTAGCCATGGTTAATGCCATGATGGAAAAGCTCCAATCTCATTGCAGTTTGCCTTTTGTACCCCTTACCCAGTGGAGTGCTCCTACTGAATTTTTTTAGGAACTTTATGGACTGGCTGTTAAAACATGACCATTATTAAAGGATGTAAAGAAAAATAAGTTATATTTAGGCTGCAGTGTAGCTACCAGCTTGTGTTCAAGCTCCAGGACCCCAAAATAAAGCAAAATAATTTTTTTTTGAGGATGCTAGGACCAACAATCACCAGCTGCCCAGATACCAAAAAATTATGCTTCTGAAATCCCTTGATCTCGATTCCGCAAGCAGAGCAATCAAGTTGCCCTACATGTGCCACTCATGACAGAAGCCTTTTTTAAAATAATACTTTAAGAGGTACTAAATGCTCAAAATTCCTTGCTTTCTGATTATTGTGCTGTTATATGCTCTTGCAGTTGGTTATTTATGTTTATCTGTATGATGGAAATACTATATAATGATGTCCTAACGTGCATTTTTTTCCCAACTCATTTAGTGACTAGTAGGTTGTTTGAAATAGACATTGGTAGGAATATTTACAGAAATTGGCAAATGCTACAAATCAGGCTTTTTAAGATTTAAGAAAGTGATAGAGAAAATGTTAATGCAGATGAAATTTAAAAGTGTTACGTTGGGCTGAAGGCATGGCTCAAGTGGTAGAGCGCTGCCTATAAAGCACCAGTACTACCAAAAAAATTGTATAATATTGTTTATAAATTCTGTGCTATAATGCTTAATATCAGTAAATTTTATAATAAACTTACATGTATACATAAATACATACTTTTCTGAAGAGAGTTAGTTGTTAACTGTTTACCAGCACAGGCCTGTCATCCCAAGAAACCACTCATCACCAGTGACTTAGCTTGTTCCCAAATCCAGAGTCGCTTCTCAGGCTTGATCTCTTTCCAGCTTGGAGTATGTTAAACACTCCCCTCTTCTGAACTTTTTTCTTGTTGTTGTGAACAATGGTTTCCCTGGTTTGCTTCCCACTCTTCTGGCTGCTTTTCACATTTATTCAATAAATATTTATTTAAATAAAGTATGAGTCCATCATTAATGTCCCCTCTACTTGCCCTTTGTAAATGTTGAGGACAACTATCTCTTTAGCTGACTTCATCCCACCTCTTGACTCAAACACCAACTAGATGCTGCTGTCTTCCAAAGCTGAGCTCTAGACTGTAGAACAAGCTGTGGAGCCAGAGCTGTGTTGGCAGCAGATCACTTACCCTCATTTTCCCTGTCTGCACTCCAGTAGTTACTTCAAACACTTCAGTTGTCTGTCTTGGTCAACATCAGGGGCTTTGCCAATTAGCATCAGAAACATTTCATTTTCTCGAGAAGTTAGCTTTGGTCTAGATATGAGGACTGGTGCTGAGAGACCTTCCTTTAGGCTGCAGGAACAAGACCTGAAATCTGAATCCTGGGGCTTGAGTCCTAGAGTCCTCTTGCCATTGGAACCAGTTGTCTTTCACCTTCCTTGAGGGTAACAAGTCTATCTCTTGGGGCTGCTGCCTCTGCCACTAGTGACCCTTTCCTGCAGGGTGTAGGACTACATCCTTCTTAAAGAACAGGCTGTATTAACAGTGTTGAACCTACGTGGTAATTTTTTGTGGTAAGCGCCTGCATGTGAGTAGCATTCTGCACCTAACTCTTTACAGGCAGTGGGGGTGTTATGGTAACTGACCACTAGGCTCAGGTCAATTCCACAACAATATCTCCTGGGGGAAAAAAAAGAAAAAAAATCAACAAGCACAATTGGGCACCATGGCTCACGCCTGTAATCCCAGCTACTTGGGAGGCAGTGATCAGGAGGATCGAGGTTCGAAGCCAGCCTGGGCAAATAGTTTGAGAGACCCTATCTCGAAAAAACCCTTCACAAAAAAGGACTGGTGAAGGGGCTTATGGTGTATGCCCTGAGTTCAAACCCTAGTATGAAAAAAAAAAAAGAGAGAACAATATCTCCTGGGATTGTTGAGACATTGGTTGAGATAATTCAGGTGGGGTGGGGAGGGAGAGAGAGCAGGGTGTCAGTTGGGTTGGCTGGTCCCACTTTCCCATCATAGTAGACATCTGTTGGTCTTGCCTGTTCAGCATTCATCCTCTTCCTGGTAATAACACCCTTATTTTCCTTGGGAAGGCCCTCCCCCATTCTTAGTTCTGTGGTTAGTAAAAGGCTAACAGTCACTCCCACCCATCCCTCTCTCTGCTTTGGGGTGGTTCATGGTTCAAGCCTGGCCAGTAAGAGCATCCCATCTTCCCAGACACAGGGATTGGTTCCGGCACAAACCTTGATACACCCAGACTGTGGCTGGAACCTTTGGCAAAGAGAAGCTTGGGCTCTGAGAAATAAAACCTTACTATAAAATAAACTGATTAAAACAGTGTGGTACAACTGTGTGATTAGATAGGCTAATGGAATCCACTGGAAAGCCTAGAAATAGAACATGAAAAACATAGAATTTAGTGGGTAATAAGGATATCATTTAAACACTTTGGTAAATACACCCAAAAGATTTGAAAACAGGGACTCAAACAGATGTTTGTACACCCATCTACAGCTTTATTGACAAGAGCCAAAGGGAAAGCAACCCAAGTGTCCATTGATAGGTGAATAAATCAACAAAATGTGGACAGGATATACATCCAATGGGGTTTTCTTCAGTTTAAAAAAGGAGGAAACCCTGTGCAAATGGTTCATGCCTATAATCCAAGCTACTCCAAAGGCAGAGATCAGGAGGATCGTGGTTCAAAGCCAGCCTGGGCAAATAGTTCTCGGAAACTCTATCTGGAAAAAACCTGTCACAAAAAAAGGCTGGTGGCTCAAGGTGTAAGCCCTGAGTTCAAACCCCAGTACTTCGTGGGGGAGAAGGAATGGAGAGAGGGTAGAAGATGAGTCCAGAGGTGCAGCTGGTAGGAGGAATAACTTCTAAAGTTCCATAGCATAGTAGGATAATTATGTTGTAGTTTAAGTTTTTCAATTTTATTTTTCATTAGCATATTTTAATTCTATAAAGTAATGGATTTCATTATGACATTTCCAGACATGTATAACACATATGTCAATCACATTCGCCCCTGTATTGATCTATCTACACCCCACCCCTCCTTGCTAGTTCCCTTTTGCTTTCACCTTCCCACTCCCATCAATTCCATGTATGAAAGAAAACAGGCAATACTTATCTTTCTGAGGCTGGCTTATTTCACTTAACAAGCTCACCTCCAGTTCCATCTCCGCTCTCCCCTGGCCTCCTTTTTGTGATACCGGGGATTGAATCAGGGCCTTACATGTGAGGTTACCTTTACCCCAGGCTAGCCTTAAACTCATGATCCTCCTAACACCACACCTGGCCTCAGGTCCATCTTCTTTTTTAACTTTTTTTTTTCTTTTCTTTTCTTCTTTTTTTTTTTTTTTTTGCAAATGATAATTTCATTCTCCTCTGCAGCTGA